TAATTATGCTTTGCCGAAAGTAAATATAAAATACAATTCGAAAAGCGACATTTCTAATCGTGTTCGCGTAAGTAATGTGGCGAATCTGCGAAGTGACTACGTAAAACGAGCAGCTTCGATGAGTTCTCGTAAGGAATGTATAGATAGTTTACAATCGCATCGGAAGCGAATGTTTGACAAGAAAGACAGGATTGCTTTATCTAAGAGATATGATACGCGAAGGTTAGGGTAGTGAATTGGTTGAGTAGGATTAATTGTATTATGTGCAGATTAGGTATGAATAGGAAAAGGTTGTGTAGGCAGAATCTACTCCATGTGAATAGGATGAAAAACTTCTATATGAGGGAATTTAATGTGTTTGTTTCTACTAGGTTAATTAATTTTTATATTTATTTTTCATGTGGAATGATATCGACCTTATGAGAAATATTTGGAGAAAAATTGATATTTTCCTGTACATGCAGACTTGGAAGGAAGGGAGGAGAGGATACACCATCAAATAGATAAAATTTACTTTTGTTTTTCTTTTTTAAATTTGATAGATATATTATCCTGTATGTGCGAATAGTTCGTGCTCATCCTTCCAGTTGATCAAGGACTGTCTGCATTCTGGGAAAATATATTTATTTAATTATTAGAAATTCTTCATGTGGTATACCCTCATACCATATGTATGTCTGAGGACATGTAGTTAGAATATGTTGTTGACGTTATACGTGGGTTGGTTCTTGTTGTTTAAGGATGATAAGTGAAGCTGATGGAACGTGATAGCTGCAAAATGAGGACTAAGGCAGCTGGGAGATCAATAGTGATGTAACCCAGTGATCGTCCGATGGATGTTCAAGCCTGTGTCGTCGTTGTGGCAGCATGCACGTTGGAGATAGCTTAGGCTGAGATAGTTAGGAACTTGTAGTGATGTTTAGAATTTTTATTAGGATCGTTCAGCCAGTTTAGGGTCGCTAAAATAAAGTGTTAGGGTTTAGTCAGGTTCCCTAATTAGATAGGATAGCTAACTAGTGAAAATATTTTGATTTGTTTGTTTAGGATGTGATCATGGTCTGTCCTTTTAGATAGGTTTTTGGCAGACCAAAGCCATAGCCTCCTCGGTGGTTTACTTGTTGGTAAGTTAGTGACTTCCGAGCAGTGTGTGGCTAGCCTGTAGTAAAGGCTGATCGCAGATGTAAGTTGCCTATCATAGGTAGACCATCAGCTAGGGATATTCACCCCTTCAGCTGTGAGGAAGAGGGATGTAGACTAGGCTGTACTCTTTGAGTAGGATTGCTGGCTGAACATAGGTAGTGATTATAGTTTGTATTTGGAACGCTAAGAAAATAAGGAAGGATCTTGACATATCATAGTAAGATTATTGTTTCGTAACCCAAAAGTATAAAATATGTAAAATGGTAAAATAAACCAAAGTTTGAAGTTAATCCCGTTTTATATTATTAAAAGTACCTCTCGCAATGCATCTGAGCTACAGCCCTCTATTATAGTACTTTGAGACGGTAAAAACAGTTACGTACTATCTCAAGCAAATATTGTTGAAAACGAAGTCTACCATCCATCAAAATACCCAGGTTACGAGTCTCGTCCACCAGCTCAATACTCACACCAGACATATTTATAGCGACATTCTGCTCAATAGTCTTTTTAATTTGTTTACAAGAGCCTAATATTAGGTACTTTGTTTTTAAGGGATTTAGTACTAAACAATTCTTCGCAGACCATGTTACGATGTTAGCGAGATCTTCATTCAGGGCTTTAATTGTCTCGTTGATATCATAGACACCCAGGCAAATAGACCTGTAGATCATCTGCGTACAAGTGATACTGAGAATGTTTGAAAGACTAAGTTATATCGGAGGTATACAGTATAAACAGGAGAGGACCCAATGTAGACCCCTGACGCACTCCTCTATCCACACGCACCTCCTGCGGGGCCAAGGTAGAGCCGTTGGCCGCATTGATCTCAAAACGTTGCGCACAATCCCTCAAATACGAGCCAAACCATACTATCGCAGAGTCATCAAAAATATAAAACGCCATTTTGGAAAGAAGAAGTTGGTGGTTAATGCACTCGAATGCCCTTGAGTAATCCAGTAAGAGAAGGACAGTAGCTTTGCCTTTGTCTTGACTAGAAATTAACCGCTCACGCGATACATGCAGCCGTAGACGCATACCACACCTGGAGGTGCCGGTGATGATTTTATACCGATTTATCGGATATCGAAGTTATAACAGGTAAAAGAACTAATATTAATTGCTATTTCGGTAACTACTCTAGCAAACCATAATTTTTTAATGCCTGGGTCTGTGATTTAAAAAAAAATAAACAACTTCAAAAATACGTCACGACAATCGTGTGTGTTATTGTTTGGGCTGGTGATTTCGGTGTTTATTTATTGAAAACATACCGTAAGTAGCGTTTTTTAAGTTTACACTGAATATAAATATTTATAAACTATACTTTGAGGAGTAATTTCATGGTAAACGTTAGAACCACTCAAACGGAATATTATCATATTTAACCAAGTAGACCAAAAATTTCATTAGTGCTTTTTAAGTGCAGGATTTGCAGTGTATTACTGCATTTTATTTGAGATGTTTTTGTTGGTAGTACGGAGGTATTTATTTAGCAATGCAGAATAATAATTTTTATTTATAAAAACTTGTATTTAAACTGAATGCTTTTCTAATTTGCGAAACAAAACAGACGCCATTTTGCGGTAGGAGGAGCGCATCGCGTGAGCGGGTATGTTCTAATAACACCTAACAACGCTGTTGTCGTACTTCGCCCTTTTCTAAAACCAGACTGTAAATCAGGTAACACATCATCAGATTCACAATATCTTGATAAATTGGTCATAAACAATCTTTTCCAAAATTTTTGATAAAGAGGGAAGTAGACTACTGGAGCGTAAATCCTTAAGTTCGCTGGGGCTATTAACTTTTGGGATAGGTTTGACAATGGCAGTTTTCCATGCAGTCGGAAATATGCCAGTTACGATGAATCTATTGATCATGCCTGTAATAATGGGCAGAGAGTAAGGTAGGATGAGTAAAATCATATCTCTACTGAGGCGATCAGCTCCTTCAGCATTGGACTTAATGTTAAGAATTACTTTACCCACAGTATCTTCCGTAACTGGTTCTAAGTGAAACACAAAAGAGCCCCGTCTATGAGAGTGAAAATAGCAAATATCGGATGATAGAACATTATTGGTACCTGGTACATTCATGAAATGGGAGTTGATTTTCTGGGGGTCTAGAAGACATTGTGGCAGCTTATGGTTTTTATTTTGGGACCTGGGAGAGCAGTACTTTTTAGATTCTTCAAGAGAAGTTTAGGCATTTAGATGTTTTTGTTGACAAATTGGTCAAAATACGCTTTTCGTTCAGCAAAAAGGCAAACGTTAACATTCTTTTTTAGATCTTTGTGCGCCGTGTTCAACTAGGCCAGTCATACGATACCTCTCCTTAGCATCATCACGTAGCTGTATTTGATAGCAGATATTTCTAGTGATCCGTGAAGTTGGGTGGTCACGTATAGTGATGGTTTGAGTAGGCGCATGTACTTCAAATAATTTAGTAAAATGTTATCAGACAAGTAACAACTTTACCTCTTTCTACTATACTCATAGGGAGATATTTGTGATTAAGAATTTATACAGAAAATAATGAAATATTATTATGTCTATTACACTTACTTGTTTCATCATTTCTTGACGGCGTAGTTTTGTCTATAATTGGAGAATCTTCTTCAATACCACCATCTACAGTTTCTCCGTCTTCTCCAATAACTTTTTGTCTCATCAATGTTAGTAGCTTTTTTACATGAGGAGTCGCTGATCTTTGTCTTTTATATTTAGGTGTTTTAGGTGCTAATTTTACAGAAGGTGTTTTTGGAGTCTTGGCTTCATCTCTAATCTCATCTTCACTAGATTCATAATCGACTAAATTTTTTTTCCTTAGAACAGGAGTAATCACTGCTGTTTTACTGGATTTATTAACAAATACAATAGCTTCAAAATCATCTTCGTGACTAGTTTTATCAAAGATCTCCTCAAATTGTTCTTTAAATCTCTCTTCGTCTTTTTTCAAATCATTATTTTCGACTAATTCACTGATGCTCGTACATTTATCTATGTCAGTTATGTCATTCATCGTATTGAATATTTTATTACATTTACTGCAATGTAATGGTAAGTGTTCTTCTGCAAGATGTTTTAGGAAGTGTAAAGTTAATTTATCAGGCTCGCAAAGAAATTTCAGGCCTCGGCAGACTGGGCAATCGAATTTTAGACCATGTGCTGTTTGTTCGTGTTTCCAGCGACACTCTTTGCAGCAGAATACTAATTGGCATACTATGCAACGAATCTAAAATTAAAAAATAATAACTTTCATAGATTTCTCAGAGATACGGCAAAAAAGTCGTTCAAAACTAAAAACAAAATCTGCAACAATAACATAGGAAAGTTCGTAAGTAAATTTTGGTCGTAGCACAGATGGAAGATCGTCAGCCATGGTATGATGAAGGCGCTGGTTCCAAACTAGTGAAGTAATTTTTATAAAAAAAATAATGAATCTCATGGTAGTAAAACATCGTAATATTCAATAAACTTAATATTACAAAGAAATAGAAATTAAAAAAATAAGTTATTAAATTAATCGAAATTTCTTCTAGCCTAGAAACGACTTACTTTCTTTTGTAACAAACTCATTAAATTGAATGAAACTACTTATCAAGACAACAAAACGAGAGCACTACTTATTTCAAAGACACCAATTTATCTTTTAGTTCATAAAAACGTATGTCTGTTAATTCAGGACCATTTCAAGTGTTTGCACGTAGAAAATTCAGTGGTGGTGTAAAATAAAGGCAAGGCTACACGATTTTATGACGTTCGTCGTCGGGACCGGTTGGCAAAAAGCGAAAACGTGTTCCTTGGTCAACTGTATTACGCTCCGAGTGCCGGTAAGTGTATTTGGCCGTACACTGCTGGCCGCGATGCTAAGGGGATATTTTACCAGTGTATTTTGGTACGCCAGTAGACGATAACGTTATGGTTACAATGCTGACCGTTTTAAAGAGGTCTTTTTTAATATTTGTTTTTATATCGGTATACATTTCTTATGGTTCATTTGTTACAAAAGTATGAATTATTAGAGATTTTTCTGTTGTAGAACTGAAAGCTCCTTGAGAAAGAGTTCGTCCATGGAAGTATTGTCACCTTATCTATGCCCACCGCCAAGCTATAATGTGAGCATTACTGGGTTCCTGTTTTAAACGGTACGGGTGCTGGTGAAATTACAGGCACATGGGACTTGTCAACTTATGTTTCAGGGCGGCGTGCGCAGTGGCAGTGCTCCTTAGATCTTTGAGATTTAAAGCTCTGAGTGGCACTGTAACTGTTATGGACTGGCGTGTCGCTTACAACCAGTCGCACAACTTATTGGTCTCGTCACTTGATATCATGCAAATAAAAAACAATAAGATTATTGCTATGTCAGTTTGCTCATATGTTTTTAGGTATATGCAATCTAGAAGGGGGGGTGTAACAATAAAAAATTAAAGATATTATCTGTGGTCAATTTTGATGACAAAAACCTGTCCAACTGCGAAAAATAAATACATTTTCTTGAGTTCATTCTCTTCTTATTGAGTGCTTAACTTAAGTAATTATTTTTTCTTTCTAAAATCGCGTATTTTTTTAAATAACCCGACATTTGTGGTTCTTTACGGGTCTTTGGTCACGTTTAACTGGGATGATAAGTCATGAACCAGTTATGGCTAATATTAATGCAAACCACTCGATCCTGAACTGTAGTAACAAAAAATATCACTTTTTAAATCAATATTTATTTACTGTGCTTATTATATTAGTTACTTTTGGTTCTTAGCGGTAGTTATTTATATTAGCTTTCAAATGACACCAAAATTGAACATGTGCCAGTGAACTCATCTCGTAGGTGTTTTTAGGACAAGCGTTTACATTTCGCAAATCTACGTAAGCCTTTATACGTACGCCTTTGTCTCATATGAGACAACAGAAAGCCACCTTATTTCGCAAATAAAAAGAGACTAATAAGAAATCCGTATTATGAGAGGGTTGAGGGTTCGACACTCCTCATATGGTGTATTTTTGTGGACAAAATTGACCATAGGCAAACCCTTTAAAATTTTATTACGGCATCCCATACAGATTGTACATAACAATGAATGTAGGTAAGTATATTTGTTACTTATGCATTCAATTATTTTTCATCCGATGGCGGTAAAATTTCTGTGACTTGTTGTGATTACACTCGAAAAAATTTTAGATGTATTAAAATCTACTACTGGTCACAGGTCTCCTCCACAACCCACTCCTTGCCAACAGCAACAACGGCCATAATTATAAGCATTATTAGTATCCAATTGCGGTAAAACTTTAGTTAGTTGTTGCACCCATGGCCACAAAACGGCTTTTTTTATGAAATGTAAGTGTGCAAATGACCTCCATCTCACCTGATGGAAAGTGACGATTAGGTCGACGACGGAGCATACACATCTAAATAATTCCTATTCACTCTCGCTTTGAAAAAGTCCAAGTTATGACGTTCAGGGAACAAGTCTGCAGGCAGGGAATTCCACTCCATAGCCGTTCGCCATGTAAATGTGGAAGCGTAACGCTTCGTACGAATCTAGGGTATATCGTAGGGGTGGTACCCAAGCCTACGTCTTTTCACCCGTTGATGGAAAGGGGAAGGCGGAATTTAATCGTGTAATTCTAATGGCTAATATGGATTGGGGACTTTACACACTTTCAGTGGCATTGCAACTCATGCCGGGTACGGGTAGTACTAATAAATAACAACAATGATCTTAGAGCGTTTGCGCACACGTCCAGTTCGTATCACTTCCGAATCCGTGAAATGACGATCCGAAATGTCACAGGGCTACGAGCGATATTCGTATTTCATTATTCGAATCGGACTTAGTGCACAAGCGACATCCGAAATGGGTCGAGTTTTCTTGATTTGTGTAGTCTCGGATGCGGAACAAATACGAATCGGATGCCGTGCGCATACACGCCTACGGTGAAGTGAAACACAAAATAGATGTTTTGACATATTTCAACCGCACGAAGAATCGACATTAATAAGTTTTTTAATAAAAAAATCGATATAAAAATATCGACACAGTTTATTGACAAAGTTGGCTTATTCTCTTTCTATGTGGTCGTTACCGCAGCCTCCTCAACAACAACTGAGACGCATAATATACTCGCGTCAATGCTGCGCCGCCTGCGCGACAGCCCCAACCGCATCCTGCAGGGATGCACCGATGCTCGCTCACTGGATGCGACTACATGCGGTCGCTTAGAAAATTAATGTTGTTTTGTTTTTGTATTGATGTCCTTATGTATTGTGCAATTAACTAACCCTTAGACAGAAGCATTTTGTAATTTACTAACAATTTATGAACCATTTCCGAAATAAATAATAATAATTATTATGATAATATGGAAGTTCACGTCAAACTGTTGCGGAGATTCTCTCATCTGGCTGCCATTTCCATCATAAGATCAAGTCAGGTGTGCACGTAGTAGCGACCAGGTCAAGGTTTTACTTATCAAAGCATATTGCCAGTCCTTCTACACGTATAGCCTGTGGGTGAACTTCACGGCGGACTGCGCGTCCATACAAAAGCGTTGTGCCTCACTCCTGACTTGGCTACGAGGCTGCACGAATGGCATCCTTAGGACCCTAGCTACTAGATGGGACTCTCCAATGGTGAGGCGCTGGTAACTGGGCCTCGAGCCTTTCTACAAGGGAATCTCATTAATCACTATTAAAATGTACTTTCCCAATTGTTACTAATACTAATTTTTAAGTTATTTTATTACCAACTCTATGGATTCAGACTCCGAAATGAATGATTATTATCGTTATTTTAATTATTTTTAATTCCGTGTCCACATAACATTTCATTTTTATTGAAATTAACACAAAGGTTAACAAAAAGAGGGTGAAATTCAATAATCCCGATTCATCCCCTGATTTTCATCAAATTTGAAAGAGACCGTTACTGATACCTTCTAACAAAAGATTCATCGAAATTGGTTCACAAACGTCGGAGTAATAAGTTATACACAAAAAAATTGCTGTCGAATTAATTCCCTCCGCCTTTTTTAAAGTTGGTTACAAATACGAAATTACTAATATCGCACCCTTAGTAATATAAGGGCACAATCCAAAAAAAAGTAGATTTTTGGGAAATTTGGGAATTGATAGGGACTTAAATAATAAATGGGATCAAACTTATATAGCTCCATATTTCTGTTATATTTTTTGTACTATATGGGTCTAACTTGAAAGTGTTTTTTTAACTTGCTTGAAACTTATGGAATTTATTTATATTATTTTTTTTTATTGCTATTTATAATACATTTATCAAAGAACAAATCTGCCAAATTTCATATTTATAACTTAAATAATAAGCATATTATTTGAAAAAATAGGTGTAATGTAGGAATCCAGAATCTTAATACGCGATTTCCCAAAAATCTACTTTTTTTGGATTGTGCCCTTATATTACTAAGGGTGCGATATATAGTAATAAAAAAAAAAAAAAAAAACCTAGCTTTTTTAATTGATAATGGAAAAAGGAGAACGAAATGTACCTATCATGGGGCTTGAAACATGATTGGCTTAAATTTCGGTCGAAAAAACAACAAAATGTGCCGCAAAATTTTCATTTTTTACCACGTTTATCTACAGAAAAATCAGTTTCGTTCGATAGCAGAGATAGGCAGTGAGTTAAAACCCAATCTGCCCGACTGCCTGGTTTTAACCCATGCCCGCCAAAAATTGTAAGCGGAAATATTACATAAAATAATACGGGATTTGATATAGTTTCACATTTATTATAAATTTAGATGCTAAAATCTTTATTAGACAAAAAAGAGGCAACTCAACACAATGTGAATCCATAGAGTTAGCAACTAAGTAACTTAAAAATTTGTGTTAGTAACAAAAACTCACCTTGGAATTCTGTGGAGTCTCATTTCTACTAGGCATGCATGAACATTACGATTCGATTTTTATTGAAAATCGATTTTAGTGTATACGATAACGAGTTTTTGTATCGATTCATGTGAATGTGATTTTCAAGCGAATCGATTCAACAAAAAGGCAAAATACGTAAGTAAGCATTAAAAATATTGTAATAATACATTTGAATAAATCACGATTTAAATGTTAGTTTTTGCCCTAGATTTCGGGCAATAATGGGATTTAACCCGATTAAATCCCGGCATTAACAAGGCGCAGGGTTAAAACCCGGGCGCTTGCCTCTCTCTGTTCGATAGTAAGTTAATAAGTAAATGTATTTC